GACAGGGTTTCTCTGTGTAGCTTTGCGCCTTTCCTGGAACTCACTTGGTAGCCCAGGCTGGCCTCGAACTCACAAAGATCCGCCTGCCTCTGCCTCCCGAGTGCTGGGATTAGAGGCGTGCGCCACCACCGCCCGGCAATTTATTTTATTTTTTGTGTGTAAGTGCTTTGGTATACTATGTGTATACCTTGTGGCTGTAAAGGCCAGAAGAGGGCATCAGATCCCCTGGAGCTGGAATTAAGGATGATCCTGAGCTATATACCATGTGGGTGTTGGGGATTGAACCCAGGTCCTTTGGAAAAGTAGCCAGTGCTCTTAACCACTGAGCCAACTCCCCAGGCTAAAGCTTTTATGATTAGGACGACTGTGTGTTTTCCTTGCAAACTGCTTTCTACTGTCCCCACCCCAGTCCTGACCACGAGTCCTCTATTGGACAGGAAAGCACCCCATTTTTTGCCCCAACAGCTGTTAAAGAACATCAGGGAACCTCTGCCTTGGAGCAGGTAGTGTAGTTCACATGAGCTTGCAGCCTTGATCAGCCAAGATCATGAACTGATCTTGGGAGTCGGGTCCTGAACTCCCAGCATCAAGCACCCGGGGTGCAGTGATAACCAGAACAAATCAGCCTTTGAGGATGACCTTGGCTGTGGTGAAACAGAGTTGTTTGGCCAGGACAGACACTGACCTGTTATTCCCACTAGAGGGCACGAGTGAGCCGTGTAGCGGTTCCACCAGGCTCAAGGAAGCACCTCTTCCCTGTAAAAAAAGAGGCTCCTGCCTGAGCAACCTCACAGACTAGGTAAACGGGTAAACCCTCTTCTTCCAGAAGGGTTTACCTTCTGGAATGTGTTAGAGGAAATTTCGCTGAATGTGATCTGAGGACAATATGGAGAGAGTAAACTCAAGGGGTATTGTTTCCGTGAAAATACCTCAGTGGTATTTTTCGTGTAGATTATAGAAATTTCTAATGATCTGTGAAAATACATAGAAGAAAAGAAAGATCACCTGATGTCCTATGACCTGAGACATGCACCAGTCATGGATTTGGTAATATTTTTGAAACCTGCTTTTTGACTTAAAGAATGCTGTGGGTATCTATCCTTGTCAATATTTTTAACGTTAGAAGCCTCAGGCCAGGTGCTTACATAAATGCTTCATTTTTTTTTTTTTCCTACTCAAGTAACCCCACAGGCAGAGAAGATGAATGCTGTGCCAGGCAGGTGGTCTGTGAGGCTGTGTGGGGCTGGAATGTAAATGGAGCAGGAGGAAGTTGTTTGGTATATTAGATTTTTACCTTCAAATTTTTCAGATTAACCTTGTGCTATACATAATAACATCTTAAGTTCTATTCCATGCTTGTTTTTATTTAAAAATATTGTGGCTTGAGCGGGCAGGATGGCTCAGGCCATATCTGATGACCTGAGTTTGATCCTCTGAACCCACACAGTGGAAGACAAGTCATCCTCTGAGCACCACGGACACACAGTGACATGTGGGCACCTGTCCCCACCAGACACACGCGTGCACATACAAAACGGATTATATATATATTGGAGACTGGGTCTCACTATGTAGCCCTGGCTGGCCTGGAACTCAGAGATCTACCTGCCTCTGTCTCCTGAGTGCAGGGATTAATGTGTGCCATTGTGCCTGAGAAATTTTTTTATTTTTTTTTTT